TTACATCAATACTTTTTCATCTTCCCAAATTGAAACTCTGTGACCTTTAAACAATAACTCCTCAGTCCACCCTCCTCATAGCCCCTGGTGATCAACATTTTATTTTCTGTCTCTATTAATTGGACTATACTAGGAACCTCAAATCATATAGTATTTGTCCTGTATCTGGCTTATTTCACTTAGCATATACATTTTTTAAGACTGAATAATATTCTATTGTATATATACAGCACATTTTGTTCATCCATCTGTTAATAGTTGTTTCTACATTTTAAGTTACTGTGAATAATAGTGTTATGAATATTAATATACAAATACTTGTTTAAGTCCCCACTTTTAATTCTTTTGGATATATACTAAGAGCTATACTTTTAACTGATATTAATTCTTGTATTAAAGGCTGAAGAGAGAAATTACCACCTTATTTTTTTCTCTCTATTCTTGCAATTAAAACCACTGATTGCTTGTGACCAATAAAAGTCAATTTGGTAAATCTAGTTGTAAGTTATCAGCCTTAACCCATAGGAAATATAGGGGATATTCCCATATTAATTCTCTTGTTTTGTGTCCCTTTGATACCATCCAAGAATTATTTAACATGACATGAACATTTACATTATTGAGTCAGAAACTAAATCCCTACATGTCTGTATAAATAAAAGCCTTATTTATTTACTTTTGTTTTGGTCTAGTTTACTAGAATATTAATTCTCTAAGGGCAAAGGGATAGTCTATTTTGTTTTTCTCTGTATTTTTAGCATATACTAGGGATGCAATATATATTTTCTAAAATTAACTTTTGACAATCTCTTAGCACATTAGATATACCATTTCACAGTATGTATGTATGTATGTGTATGTATATATATATATAGTTGTGAATAATGAGTTAAGTGGCTTCTTTTTTTCGCTGTCTGTTTTTATAATATATTCAGCCAAAGAGAAAAATTAAGAATTAAGGATTTGTTTTTGTATTTATATATATAACTTTCTATCTTTCTATTACTACTACTTACTTTGGACAATTCACTTAAATAATGCTCTCATTGTGTTGTCTTTCTCCTAACATATTTTTAGTAATGCCCTTAATCCATTATCCATATTTTAAGCAAATAACTATAGTTTTATTCATTGATATTTCAGTCTCATCTTTTTAGTCAATTCTATATGTTTTCTCTTCTCTTTCCTACATACAACACCATTTTAAATTTAAAATTTATCATTATGTATTTCATGATGAACTAAAAAACTAACATGCATGTATGGTAGATGAAATATTACATTACCCAAGTATTATATAGTGTGTGGTATACAAGCCTCTTTCAAAATCCTGAGCTTCTTCCTTATTTTTTAAATCATCTTTCCATCAAGCACCAGAGCATAGTTGGCCCTGATTCAGTGCCGTTTCCAATAAGATTTTTTGCTGTCCTAAGTACGCATTGCGAATTACCTAACTCACTTTCACTTTGATTAAATTTGGAATGGCGGAAGATTCCAGGCTTCAAGGCTAAAAGCGGCACTTGAAAATGTTCATCATTTAAAGATTTATTACTCTCATCCCCTCCCAAGGTACCTGCCTCTTAGCATTGTTCCACAAACACACTCTGCACTCTGTTTCATCTGGGTTTTGGCTCACTGCGTTTCCTCTGCTTAGACTATCCTCCTCATTCAAGATTTCCTGAAGTTATTATGCTGAATGAAATAAGTCAGACGGAGAAAGATAAATACCATACGATTTGACTTATATGCAGAATCTAAGGAACAAAAAGAACAAACTAATTGAAAATCGACTCACAAATATGCAGTCAGCAATAATGTATAGGCTAGGTAGAGAGCCAGAGGAGAGATAGAGCAATTAAAGCAATTAGATAGAGCAATTAGTTCATTTCATAAACTGTATAAATGTCTACTCAATGTATGGTTTACTTGAAACTAATAATAAAATAAAATACTAAAAACAAAAAAAGATTCACTGAGGAACTCTAACCATCCTTCAGTGTCATATAAATCCTTCACCCTCTAGGAAACCATGTATGTTATTTCACCAATTGAAATATCTCCTTTAACATCCACATGGCAATTTGTGCTTTCCTCATTGAATTATTATATTGTATACTTGCTTCAATACGTTGCTAAACTTTCTATCTCTTTATTTCTCTCTCTCCAACTTACATAGAATACTACATTGCATAAAAAACATGCCTTTCCCTAGCCTGAATAACCCATTGATAGACTGAAGGGAGGAATGTCCTGGAGTTCTCGGTAGTCCTAGACAATCAATCAATCCCACTGTATTTATTTATCACAGAAATCCAGGTGTTCACTCTAAGACATCTCTCACCACACAGATATCTCTTCCTCTCTTTAAACATCCTGATATGACTCAGTTTTCCACCTTACCTTTACCTCTACCACCAAACTTTCCCCCAGGACCTTCTGGAATTTATAATCCATTATCGGCAATATCCTCTAAAAATACAACCTTACCTATGAATATTACTTTCTGATTCTTCCCACCCTGCACCTCTCCCCAACACAAGACATTGCTATCTCAAACAGTTGCTCCCATACTTTACGTAGTGCAGATCCTAGGGGTAGATAGATAGAAAGTATATTTCTGTCTCTGAATTGCTTCTAGAATATTATTCCACCTCCTTTGCCGTCTTTCCCAATTTCTCTGAAGTAAATGCCATCATCTGAATTTATCACCCACTAAACTCTCTGGCTACAGTCCTCTACAGATCTCTTTAATGACTCCTTGATGAATAGGATATTTAAACATTTGGCTTACTGGTTTTTTTCTCACTACAATATACTTTTATTATCATAAATGATCATGTAAAAATCCACAGGGGCATTCTATTCACAGCAGTGGGTGACAGTTGATCACTCCCTCCATTATGAATCTTATTCTTTACATGGTGCATGAATTCTACATTTTCCTAGTATCCCTGCTACCTCATGAAAGTGAATTCTCATTGTCCTTTGATGAATCCTTTTCCTGACCTCTAAATGTTGAGTAACCAGGAAACAGTCTTTGGATTTTTCTATCTATACCCATTTTCTAGGTGATTTCATCCTGAACCATGATTTCTTTCCTGAATCTAGATCAGCATCTGTGACTCTCTTGCCAAGAACTATGCTTGTATATTGAAAAAGCTTCACAAACATAAAATCTCCAAAAATGAACACTTGATTTCTGCCACCACCACACCTGGGAGAGAAATGTTCGAAACAAAAAAAATTCAGAGTCGTTTTTCATTTTCTCCAATACACCACATAATCCATCAGCAAATCCTTTTGGTTCTCTTTTGACTCTCTTTTCACCATCTCCCTTGCCTACTACCATGGTTCAAGCCACTGCCGAATCTTTACTGGAAAGTAATGCACTGTGCTCTGTTTCTATTCTTTCTGATAACACTTACTCACCCACACTCCCAATCATGCACAAAATCTAGAAAAATCCTTTTATATTGTATTTTGTTACCCCTCTGGACAGAACCATTCAACAACTTTCTTTCTAAAATTTCTAGAATAAATCTCATATTGTAGCCCTGGACTACATTTCTAAACTCATTTCCAATCAGTCTTTCAGAAACACTGACCTCCAAGTTCTCTCTAGCTTCAGGGACTTTATACTGGAATGCCCAGAATGCTCTTTACCTAGCAATCCACAAATCTTTCTCTTGACCACATGAGTTTGTACTAAATAGCCACCAATTTCCTTTATATACTATTTGTTTATTTCCATAGTTTGTATTAGTGGACACTTTAAGTATTCAAAAATATTTACTGTTTAAATAAATGAACTGAATCAATAATTAATGGAACTAAAATATAATATGTAAAATAAGATAAAAATCAACTCCAAAGGATTATTACTTGTAAATCATAATGAGAGACATATAAATAATGTGATCGATTTAAATTTGTGGACCGCTTTTAGTTATACCTGGTGATTCAGACCAGAAGTCAGTATTTGGCACTGTGAAAAAGCTATTTTACACAAAAAACAACAAGCTATTTTGCATGCTTTATTTGCTTGGTTGATTTTTCTCTCTCAGAATGTTTAATGTTGTAAAACTATATGTAAGAAGAGCTCTGTTAATA